AGCCAGCGAATGCTGGCTGAGGAATTCTGGGAGTTGAAGTCCGGACATCTTCAAGTTGCCAAGATTGAGAAACACTGGATTAGATGACTGAAAGAGATAATAGGCAGACATTCTGATAGAAGATAGATTATGGATGGAGATATTAGAAAGGATAGATACAGAAAGAAGAGATTAAATGATAGATATAAGACAAATAAGAGAAATGTTACATTAGATAGATGACATGATTGAAAGATAATAGTTAATAAAGAGATGATAGATAGATAGTTAAGAAAGAGGATAGATACATAGAGAGAAGAGATTAAATCGGGTGTCAAACTTGCATCGTCACGTGACTTATTGTGGCTCCCCCTCCCTTCACTTAACTGAGCATGGGCATAGTCAGCCTGTGATGTATCTGGGCTGCAAGTTTGACACCCCTGGATTAAATGATAGATATATGAGAGAGAGAGAGAGAGAGATGATAGAAGATAGATTAGATGGATTGGATGATAGATGATTGAAAGAGATAATAGTTAATAAAGAGATAGATAGATAATGGATGGAGCTAGATAAATAGACAGGTGTGTGTATATATATATGTGTTTATGTTTATATGTGTATGTCTCTGTGTATATAGTCACTCACATCTGCCACCCATCTGCCTCTCCAAAGCACCTCTGGGCAGTTTATCTGGGTTTCCNGTCGCACTGTGATGACGTCAAATGCACGCTTTCGTCGAGCGCGATTTTGTCCTCCGCGATTTTGTGGTGGAACCAGTAATGATGTCCACATAAATTAAACAAGACGAAACAATAATAGAATGGAGGTGACGCTGTGGGATACAACGCCCTCTACTTTGCCCCTATTTTTAGGGCTTTAAACATCAGAGATGAAACACCAGCCCTACTTTTTTAGGGGGGTTTGAAACATGCTCTTTCTAATTAGGATGATTTAACAGAGTTTCCAGGCAGCTTTTTTTTTTTTTGTAAAAGCGGGCTGAAAATAACCTATTTTGGGTGCTTTTACAAAAAACCGTCAACTTTACCCCTCGATATTGAAAAGCAGTAGAATGAAATTTTATGCTTGGAAATCTTGTGTTGCTGGGTTTATCGCGCACAAAGTTTCACGCTTCTCATACCTTTCCTTCCAGATATAAGAAGCCAAACTTTAGCCTTTTTTTTTTTCACGCCACAGTCATTTTCGGCAAACTTTGCTCCAAATTATTTAAGATAGAAATCCGCTCGTGCGAATGTTTTTTATTATTTTGTTTAAAAGAGCACAACAAGTTGTGCAATATGGCCCAAGTTTTGTTTCTCTCAAGAAAATATGGCCAGAGATATTAGGACTCAAAGTTGCTGAAACCTCAGAGTCATACTGTCAAAGGCTACTGCGGTATGGGGTGAAACAAACGGCTGAATCCTCCACAAGTATTGCATGTATTTCATCTGTAAATGTAACACTTATCCAATGTTCAATGGGGATGTGCGTGCATGTTCACACCAGAGGTGGGTTCCTACCAGTTCGCACCTATTCGATAGAAGCGGTTCGTCAAATCTACTGAACCGGTTAGAAGAGGTTCCACCAGTGGACTCGGAAAGCAGGCCACACCTACAGAAGAGGTTTCAAAAACTTTTGGTTCACACCCAATTTCATCGAAATCCATGATGGTTTGAGCTGGGCGCCTCAAACCACTTGACATGGAATGACCCCAGGGCAGCCCCTCAAATATTGGAATCCCGCTATCATGTCCCACTCACTCCTTCTTTTCTCAATTCCTGCAACCGTTCTTCGTATGTTTTAATCTCCGGCCTTTAATAATCTTAGTTGCTCTTCTTTGAACTTTTTCCAAAGTCTCGACATCTTTTCTGTAATGTGGTGACCAAAATTTAGACACAATATTCCAGGTGTGCCTAAGGGCTTTACAAAGCAGCATTAGTACTTCTTGTGATTTTGATCTTACGACTCTGTTTATGTAACCAAGGATTTGTGATAGCTTTCCCGGCTGCCGCTCCACACAGATGGCTCAGGTTTAAGCTGTCATCCACTAAGACTCCGAGGTCCTAGTACCTCTTACTGGTAGCCAAGTTTCACCTAATCTAGCAATAGCAATTAGACTTATATACCGCTTTATAGGGCTTTCAGCCCTCTCTAAGCGGTTTACAGAGTCAGCATATCG